CTAGGAAGTCCACCCTACAGACCTGTTGGGCTTTCCAGTTAGGAGTGGCTGCGAACCATCGAACGGCCCAGTATACTTGCTCTCTGCACACTGTCTTGGCGATTGATCTTTTGAACGAAGCAGGACATTCTCTCAGTTAAAACATCTCAAAGGTAGTTAGGTTTCTTGACAGGTATTTAGCTATAATTGGATAAAGGACCCAGTACAGGCGCCTCATCAGTTTCCGGGTTGGCCATATAGCGTCTCTACCAACAGGTTTTGCGTGATTAGTTAGAAAAGTAATTCATTTCAATGGTCAGTTATATTTAGACCGCTGGGATATCGTGTCGGAGGGTTATTTATCACGTTGGCTCAAGAGAGACTCGGACTAGATGTGAAAAGACAACTGTTGTCTCGGCAGGTTGGGCCTTATCGTCTGTTCTACTGCAGTTCGGCCAAGACAGTAACTTAAAAGTTCCAGATACGCCGCACCTACAAAACTTCCGTTGAGTCCACTTTAGACATTCGTCGAAACTGGGCCGCTTTTTTACTTTTTTTTGCCTGCTACGTCGTTGATATCCTGTCGGATCTTCAGCGTAACATCGTGATAGATTGAGTTTATTAGTCATAAATTATACGTCGACAATGTTGACTGTGGATGCACAGATGACACCTTAGGTTTTGACTGGCGTCAAGCTTGTTGATCTTATGTCCTGGACGGCCAGCTACAAGATGCCAGAATCGAGTTGCTACTTGGTGATTGCGTAGCGGTTGGCTCTAAAGCCTCATAGTGGCAGAACCAATACCACTTTAAAGATTAAAACTTATTTAAAGACGTTCAGGTAAAGGATTGGATGACATTTTAAAACAGTCAACGCGCATAAACCTCACAAATAAGGGATTAAGAAGGGAGGAAGGTCGTTCAGGTTAGAAACTGTCATCAAAACCTGTACCCCTTAGAATACTTAATTTCAGCAACATACGGATACACTGACTGCTGCTTTCTGATCGGGGCTTCAGCTGTAAGCATTCCAACGTCGCAGGCGCCAACTGGTTTCGACCGTGGATCACTTTGAGGAGATTTGCTCTGAATGCGTTCGCCAATAGCGGCGTCACCACTGTTGCTTACCTCCGAAACTTGGCGGCATTTCTTAGTGCCGGAGAACGCGGTTCCTTTGTCATCTATGTGAGCGGCCAGGTAGGTGTAGAACTGTGATTCCCACTGTTGGACATTGTCCTGTTTGTGGTGCATCAACGGATTTTGTTGAAAATCGGGCAGTGGACAAGGTTCCGTTGAGTTGGAAACGTCCGGCTCCTGAACACTATCCAAGGTCACCTAAGGGGATAGGCCAGACAATATTCCTATTAAGTAAGCCATTTTGACTAATTGGGGCTCCTCGTTCGACAAGTATATTTGTTTCGGTCGCAGTAAGGCGCTAAACTTACTAGGGTAGGTTCAGAAGAGAAGTTGGCGGACAAACGTTCGATAAATTCTCATCCGGCCAGAACATTTATATGAGAAAGAGGTCAAAGGTGAAACATGCGGTCAATTATGTTCGAATGATAGGTTTTAGCCAGAATTCGAAAAGTCAGGCCAGTAAACTTGTTCCAGCGATCGAATCTCCTGAACTGTTTCCTGGAACTCGCCTGTTCGCTTCTATCAGTAGTATGTTCGCCATTTCAGCCAAGTGATTCATGAAGGTAGGGGGAAGGTTGATTTGTTTGTTTTAACTTACCTTCCCCACGAATGCTCATACTAGCGCGCTTCAAATTGCGGTTCAAATTTCTCGTCCTCCGTGGGAAATACAATTTTCGGGATTTCGGGATTTCGGACCAGCTAGCACTCTGGTGGACACTCGT